CGGCGGGCTGTCCCTCCCGTCCGTCTGGCGCTGCGATGCGGCGCTGGAGGATCGGGCGCCCCGCAGCGGACTCGGCCCCAGGCAGGGGCTAGTGGGGCTCACGGGGCTGCGGGGGTCCTGCCCCCCGCGGTGAGCGAGGAGGTGTCCAGGGCAAGGCCACCGTAAGGTGTGTGAAGTGGACCCCGCGCCCCACTCGGACTCCCACGCTGGGGCTGGGGCTGGAACCTTGAGAAACCCTGAGGTGGCGCCACCGGGCTGGGGGGGGTACTGGGGGAGAGGGGGGGCCCTGCCTTGGCAGGAAGGCAGGGCAGTCGGACCACACTGGGCACCCAGGCCTGGCCCCAGGGTCACAGCCCTTGACCCCCAAATCACGTCCCCCATCCCACCCACTCTCCTAACCCCAACACAGGCCCCCCACCCTGTTTCCTGGGAGAAGAGGGGGACCCCAGCCACAGACACCGTTGAAGTGGGGGTGCTGCACAGCTGATCCGACATCTTTGCTACTCACGGGGCTGGGGGTGGTGTCTCGGGCCAAGTCCCCTGAGCCCCAACTTTCTTTTAAAAGGGCGGCAGAGGCCCTCCCTGGGGGTGCAGGGGCCCAGTCTCAGCAGGCGGGGCGGTGGGTGGGGCTGTCGCCAGCCGCAGCAGCACCCCCGGGCCAGCACTCTCTGTCCCCGCTGCCCTCAGGAGTGTACCTCAGTGAATCTGCCTTTCTGCTCCCCCTGTACCCAGGGTGAATCATCACCCCGCATCCCTGGCCTCCGCTCGGGCAACAGGGACACAGCCCTCCCTGCCTCGCTCAGGGCAACGGCCCTGGAAATTTCTAGACCAGGTTTTCCCACCTGCGAAGTGTCAGAGGTTGGGAAGCACTTCCCCAGGAGTGCCATACTCCCAGGGATGGGGGGGGGGGCACACACTCCATTTTGGGGGCACATCCTACTGGCAGCAGCTTCCTCCCCGAGACCTAGATTATCTGATTCTGAGGTTGCTCTGGTGCAGCAGGGCTGCGTGGTCACGGGACCCTCCCCACAGCTGACCTGCAGGCAGCAGGCGGGCTCCAGGGCCTCCCCACGGCCGACCTGCAGGCCGCAGGCGGGCTCCCGGGCCTCCCCACGGCCGACCTGCAGGTAACAGGTGGGCTTGGGGCCGCAGCGCACAAGGCAGCTCTGGACAAGCACTCACCAGGCCCACGCCCACAGAGCCACCACACAAGTGGTGCCGAGCACCTGTCACCTCGCCACCCCGGACCGCCAGCCGCTTTCACTAGGGTGGGGACTGTGCCACTGTGCGTGGCGCTCGTGACCCACGACTCGCCGGGCAGAGGGGCTGCTGGGGTGGGGCCAGTGCCGGGGAGGGCGCCCGGCCAGTCCCCCTCGGGGCCGAGCACAAGGCTGTGGGGAGACGGCCCGAGTCCCCCCTCGACGCCGCAAGGTGGGCGCAGATGAATGCGGGCTGGGGCTGGGGACAGGGCAGGACGGGAGGCTGCTCCCACCTGCGGGAGGCAGAGCTGGAAACTGGGCACCTGCAGGGTCCTGGGCTCCCCGTGCCGCGTCACCCCAGAGGTGACCCCCGGGCACGCGGCCGCTGGCTCAGCTCAGGCTGCACCCACACTCGGTGCCCGGCCCCAGCACTTCCCTCGGGGACCGCGGCTGCCTGTGGCTGGCAGCCGCCCAGGCCTCCCTCTGCAGCTGCACAGGGCACAGGGCGGCACCGCCCCTGGGTGGCGGGCAGCGCCTGCCGGGGCGCCTCCGGCCCAGATCCACTCGAGGCAGGCGGGGCTTCAAATCAAGTTTAATAAATAAAACAGCAAGGAGTTCAAGGCAGTTGTCCCTTCACAGTGTGGTCCTTGGTGGGGTGAGGGGAGGCTGAGTCCGGCTCTGCAGACGGGCTCCGGCCACTGACTCGTGACCCCGGGGCGGGAGCGCTGCCCTGCCCCCTGGAGGACCCCACTCCAATTTGTAAACAGAAGCATAAATAAAAGGAGGGAGGCAGGAGGATGAGGACCAGGACCCCAAACCATCTTGAGGGAGCTTCAACAGAAAGACGACCTTCGGGTCAGGGCGCAGCTGGGGCCCGGCCCTCGGCGCTGCGGGCAACAGGGCCGTGGAGCCTCGGGGTGGGTCCCGTCCCCTGGCCCGGCCAAGGCTGCCGAGGGGCTCTGGGGAGGGCAGCGGGAGGGTGTAAAGTGCGGCTTTTCCTGAAGTGGGGAGAGCGGGCGGAGTCAGGGCGGGCTGGGCCGCGTCGAGGTATATGGCTCTGTGCCCCCTGGTCTGGCACCGAGTAGCAGCTTCCTGCCGACCCCGGCTGGAGCCCCCTGCAGCCTGCCAGCCGTGGGGCGGCGAAGCCACGCGGAGCGCCAGGCCCGGCGAGGCTGCTGGTAG